TCTAGTGCCATTCATGTCTGCAATGCTCTTTCTCTCTCTCTCTCTCTCTCAAATGCCCTCTCTTTTGGTTTTTATTCTGGTGATGGTCTTTTGATTTCAGAAAAATTCTAGTAGGTAACAAAAAATCTGATGTTCCGATAAATTAAGCAATTGATTTGAATGGCCGATCAGATACTATGACAAATTGACCAACATTCACAAAGAACATCAGTTTCTTTTATAACCAGTTTAAAACACTAGCGTCTGCAATGCCAAACGTGTACCTGGTTGGTGAATGTGTCGTAGGAAATCCGGAGGAGTGCAACGTGGCGGAAGAAGTGGACTGGTCAAGAGATAGTAACCGGTGCGGTTGGTAGTGCTACCAACCGTTGAAAATCCCACCTGTACCTAAGTGGGTTGGTATTTCATAGATTTCATTGCGTGGAATTTCCTTTATATATTTAAATAAATTATTTAATATCAGGATAAATAATTTTATGTTTTTATTCGTAAAAAAGTTCATCGGAGATAAATTCTTTTACTTTTTTCAGACAAATAATACTGTATATAAATATTCGATTAATATTTAATTAAATTCCCACTGAAGTGCCCCGCGGAGACCCTGTTTTTTCGAAGGTACGCGGAGATTCCAACCACTATAAAGCTGAAACCCAGCTTGAGTTTTAAGTAAGCAGCGCGTGGACGGCCCTCTCCGGAGCAGAGCGTGCTCTTCGAATGCTGATTTGCCAGCGTGATTCGCAGCGTACCACCGACACGTAATCCTCGCGTGTTGCCGGCCACCGAACCTGGCTTCATTTACGACTTGCATTCACGTTTGAAGAATGTTTCTTTTTAAAGAAAAATTAGAAAAAAAAAAATATTATTTGAGGTTGGATTAAAATTAGTAAAAATACTTTTAATTAAAAGTTATTTGAGGTTGGATTAAAATTCCATTTCCGTAGGATTAGAAAATTATACTACAAGTAATTAGTGTATATATATATATATATATATATATTTGGGATAAATTAAGTGCTGCAGTTTATAAAAAAAAAAGTTATTTGTTTTTTTAATTTTGGTTCTCTCTCCTCCATTGCCATTCTTATAAGAGAAAAAGAACCCATTTTCTTTTCTTTTTATTTTGAGTCTCTTCTGCATCTCCTTCCATCTTCACTACTCTCTCTTTCTTTCTAGCTTCATCTTTGCTTCACCACTTCTCTCTCACACACAAATTCAGCAACCTCGAATGTAATGGCAGCAGAGTCAAGTATCGAGTCTCAACCCCAACAAAGTCGGTCGTTCTTTTGTTAATGACGCGACTGTTTACTCTGGTTCGAGGCTGCTAAATAACGCGTCGACGGCTAAATCGTGAAGGAAGAAGCTGCTCGCATGCAGCAAGATAGAGGAGGTGGGCGGTTAGTCTCATGAAACATAGAACAAGGGTTTGT